ATTATTTTTTCAGCTACAGTATGAGCTTTGAGAGGCTAAAATCCCTGCCTCTCATATTCAGCGTTGTGTCTCCAGCATAGGTATTACAGGCCCATGATAAATATTTGTTGAATGAATGAAAAAATGTCTTCTTCACTTGACTATGAGCTACTTGAGAGGACTGGCTGCACAGTTCCTGAGGGTTTTTTTTTTTCTTTTTTCCTTCTTTGAGACAGGGTCTCTGTCGGCCAGGCTGGAGTGCAGTGGTATGATCTCAGCTCACTCCATTCTCCATTTCCAGGGCTCAAGTGATCCTCCCACCTCAGCCTTTTAAGTAGCTGGGACCACCAGCGTGTACCAACATGCCTGGCTAATTTTTGTGTCTTTTTTAGAGATCAAGTTTTACTGGGTTTCCCAGGATGGTCTCGAACTCTTGGAGTCAAGCAACCCACTCACCCCAGCCTCCCAAAGTGTTGGGATTATAGGTGTGAGCCACCGCATCTGGCCCTGAGTTTTTGTTTTTTTTGTTTTTTTTTAGTTAAATTGAATTAAAATGCATAGGAGAAATACGTAACCAAACCTGGGAAACCAGAGACTTCCCAGAGGAGATGATGCCTGAGAGCTTGAAAGGATGAGAAAGTTATCTAGGTAGAAGGAATGTGGAAGTGGAAGGCATTTCAGGCAAGAGCAGAGGTCAAGGGGGAAGTATGGTATGTTCTAGAAACTGCTAGTCATTTGGCTGCAATTTAGGGTTCATGAGGGACAGTGGCTGTGGGAGGAGACCAGGTCATTTATTTGTGTGTTCATTAACAGATTTGGTAGACACTGATAGGTACAGTGTGCTGAGTCCTAAAGGTGGGAGATGCACTGGACAACCCTTGCTCTTGAGGAGTTTGTGAATTATCTAGAAGCTGCTTTATCTTAGATGGAGAGCCTTTGAGGAGTTTAATAAGGGATGGTCGGGGGGAATTATAAGATACATATTCTAGAACCCTAGGATGGTGTGTTTCAAATTATCTGTGGTGAAGGACAGTTTTCTATTTTATTTCCAATCCATCAGAGACTGATAAAGATAGTAACATTATAAAGACAAATACAAGTCCATGTTTCTTCATATTAGATTCAACAGCACAGCATACAACTACTGTAAAATTGTTATGTAAGTTTTTCAGTGTCTGCTCTCAGTTTCCACTCTTATCCTAGACCAGGGATAACTGTAAACAGCACTGGTTTGCAGACTGTCCTTTAAGTAGCACTGTTCAAAGAGTTCACGTCTTAGCTGCAGATGGAGAATTGATTGGAGGAGGATTGAATGAAGGCAGAGCTCAGCAGGGGGGCTGTTTCTCTGAGGCAGGCAAGTGACAGTGGTAGGCTGGACTGGGAAGTGGCAGCGGAGACAGAAATTTTGGAGGTAAAAGCCACAGATTTGGTGAAGTGGAGAAGTCAAGGGGAAAGGCAGGAATTAAAGATGCCGCCCAGGTTTCTGGCTTGAGCAACTGGATTGGGTGATGGTGATAGTGACTGAAATCTGGACTGGAGAAGATAATGTTTGAGGGAGGACCATGAATTCAGTTCTGAGCTAAGTCTGAGGTGCATGGAAGACTCCAGTAGGAGATATCCAAAAGGCGACCAGTTTTGGAGCTGGCTGTGGTCTTTAAGAGAGAATTCCCTGATTTAGTCTAGCATTGACTCCATCCTTGGGTCTCTGACAGACCCAGCTGGTGGTAGTGCTGTTTGTCTCTGGGGGAGGTCTGTAAGATTGGGGGTGTGGGAGAACGGAGGAAGGGGCATTGGCAGGGCTGCATATGTTGGGAGTAGGATTCAGGCCCATTTCTATGTTCTGTAGACCTGACCTTGGCAAACTCTGGGGAGCGGCAAGTCCTACTGTCCCCACTGGGTGGCAGTAGTGCTTCAGACAAGAGTTGTATGGACTAGGGGCTGCTAGGCCTTCCTCCAGGTATTTAACCATCTGTCTTGCTCCAGAGTTGATCTTTGGACTCCACAGAAGCACTTACATGTGGGCCCCTCACCTTACCATGGGGGCAGGAGTGTCTGTCCCATTACTGAGGTTCCAGAGCTGAAGACATAGTGAAGTTGCTCCCAGAATGAATCAGGGGCAGGCTGCAGTCCCAAACCCTGCTATGGCCTCTAGTCAAGCAGACAGGTTCTTTTCTCACTCCATGCTGCAGGGGCACACGCCCAGGGGCTGGCAACAAATGGGAGGAGCTGTGGTCACAGGGGGCTGGAGCCTGCTGGACATGACATGACATGATGTGGGCATGCCCCTACTGTGTCCCTCTGTGCCAGTAGACTGTGCAGGTACCTGTGTACTCAGAGCAGGAGTACCAGCTTTATCTCCATGACGATGCTTGGACTAAGGCAGAAACTGACCACCTCTTTGACCTCAGCCGCCGCTTTGACCTGCGTTTTGTTGTTATCCATGACCGGTATGACCACCAGCAGTTCAAGGTGAGCCATTGTGCATTTGCATGTGTGCCCAGCTCCTGGGTCTAGTAGGCCCTACTTTTATGCATCCGTTCCACGTGCCTCTGAATGTTTATTCCTCCACCCTGTCTTGCTCCTCAGAAGCGTTCTGTGGAAGACTTGAAGGAACGGTACTACCACATCTGTGCTAAGCTTGCCAATGTGCGGGCTGTGCCAGGCACAGACCTTAAGATACCAGTATTTGATGCTGGGCATGAACGACGGCGGAAGGAACAGCTTGAGCGGCTGTACAACCGGACCCCAGAGCAGGTTAGCCCAAGGCCACATGCCTGTGCTCCATGCCCCAAACCCCTTGCCCATTCCCTCCATCCTCGGCAGCTGTCACCTCCCACTCGCAGGTCCCTGTGCCTCCCACCAGTACCCTATTACCTGCCCTAAGCCCATTCCTACCTCTCACAGGCATCCCCCCTGATTTCACAGCCCTTCACCTCCCTCATGATCCCTTACTTCTCAGATTCCCTCATAGACAGCCCAGCACCCCGTCACCTCCGTGTCTACCCTCTCTCCTGGAAGTGCCCTCACACACTTTGCATCCCTCACTTTCCCAGGTGGCAGAGGAGGAGTACCTGCTGCAGGAGTTGCGCAAGATCGAGGCCCGGAAGAAGGAGCGGGAAAAACGCAGCCAGGACCTGCAGAAGCTGATCACAGCGGCAGATACCACTGCAGAGCAGCGGCGCACGGAACGCAAGGCCCCCAAGAAGAAGCTACCACAGAAAAAGGAGGCTGAGAAGCCGGTGCGGAGGCTCAGCCAGCCCAGCTCAGGGTGGAAGGGTCACCTGGCACAAGGCCCCACCTGGACTGGAGGGTTCTGAGAGCACTCAGTGCTGATGAGGTGCTGGGCCCTCTCCCTACGACACCTTGGTCTCCATAATGCCTTCTCCTCCAGGCTGTTCCTGAGACTGCAGGCATCAAGTTTCCGGACTTCAAGTCTGCAGGTGTCACGCTGCGGAGCCAACGGGTATGCGAGTTACCTCATTTAGCATGTTTGGGCCCTGGGCTCTCTGCTCTCAGCTCCACGGGGCAGGCAAGTGTGGCTAGAGCCATAGGAGATTGCTGCAGAGGTGGCCTCACCAGGATCTCAGGGATGCGGCCAGACTAAGGCCGCATCCTCAGCTTCCTGGCTATTTCCTTTTCTGGCTCATAGTTAACCTCTATGTGTTACCGTCTCTTCCATCCCTCTTTCCCACTGCCTTTTGTCCCCTTTACCCTAAGCGTCTTATGGCTGGGAGAGGCTTAGCTTGCCAGGTTTCATTGCAGATGAAGCTGCCAAGCTCTGTGGGACAGAAGAAGATCAAGGCCCTGGAACAGATGCTGCTGGAGCTTGGTGTAGGTGAGTATGGGAACTGGGCCCCACAGGAGTACCCACCCGAGGCTGTGGATACAGGCTGGGCAGGGGAAGGATAGTTCCTGTTGCTGACCCTCTACCACACCTGGGCTCTGCCCCTGTGCTGCCCACCGCCTGCCTGCAGAGCTGAGCCCGACACCTACGGAGGAGCTGGTGCACATGTTCAATGAGCTGCGAAGTGACCTGGTGCTGCTCTACGAGCTCAAGCAGGCCTGTGCCAACTGCGAGTATGAGCTGCAGATGCTGCGGCACCGTCACGAGGCACTGGCCCGGGCTGGTGTGCTGGGGGGCCCTGCCACGCCAGCATCAGGCCCAGGCCCGGCGTCTGCTGAGCCAGCAGTGACTGAACCCGGACTTGGCCCTGACCCCAAGGATACCATCATCGATGTGGTGGGTGCACCCCTCACGCCCAATTCGGTAAGAGCCTGGACAGGCTGGGAGGCATGCACATGATGTAGGGGCTCCTCTCCCTCTAGTGCCTGCAGTAGAAATCATCATCACTTCTGTGCGGGTCTGAGACCCAGGGTAGGAGTGGTTGACCAGTGGACATCCTTGTCACTGAGCGTATGAAACACATGCACCAAGCCTGACTCAGGCCTTGGGGGTTCACTGACCTCAACGCCTTCTGTGTCCTCAGAGAAAGCGACGGGAGTCAGCCTCCAGCTCATCTTCTGTGAAGAAAGCCAAGAAGCCGTGAGAGGCCCCACGGGGTGTGGGCGATGCTGTTATGTAAATAGAGTTGCTGAGTTGGACCAGACTGATTCCTTTTCATTTCCACCACTTCTGATGCCCCTAGTGGGAGGGTTGGGCCAGGAGGGGATTGTCACAACCACTCCATGGGGTGGCAGGTAGGTTTGCCTGTGTTGAGGTCCTTAGCAACTCTCTGACCATTAACCACTACCAGTTTTACCCAAACTCCTGTACCTCAGAGCACCTGTGGTTTACACTCAAGGTGACTTTGCATACAGCCTGTGCTGTAGTCCCCACACTTCCACAGATGTGTACATACTGAGTGAGGGTGTCACAGGTGCTGCAGTGATGGCCAGTCACACACAGATGGCCTTGTGCACAGAGGCAGTCTGGAGCATGCTCTACCTACCTTCATGTCCTGAGAGCTTTAGCGCAGCAGCAGCCGTCTCACACACACACATGGTTTTGCACACACCCCCAGTGCCTCGTTTCCCCGACTTTATTCAGTGGCACGTTCACAGCGGGGATGGGGGTAGACACAAGGTGGGGCCTGATCTGTCCTGGAGCCCTGGGGGCACCACACACCATGCACTATGGATGGGAGGGGGCACAGGGGGGGCTTGGTGGCCCCACAGAAGCCTGTGTACCAGGGAGGAGGCGGTGAGTGCCTGGGTCCCCCTAGCCCAGGCCCACAATGGGAGGGGCTGATACTGGGCTGAGATCGAGGGGTGGGGATGGGGGTCACAAAGTGTCTGCTCCAGAAGGGCCAAGTGGCCAAGCCCTTGCCAAGGGCACAAGCCCAAAGGGCAGCTGGGGGACACTCTGGACGCAGAGCTATGCCACTCTCCCTCTTCCCCTCTGGTGAGGGAGAGGATGATTCTGGGCTGGGCCAAACAGCTACCCTGTCCTGCCCCATCCTGTCCTTGGCCGATCAGAACGGCTTCGATGTCTGCTTGAAGATGAAGCCTCGGTAGGCGAGTGTCTTCATGATGTTGGCAATGTTCTTGCAGTCGTCTAAAAAGAAGAGAAGACATTTAGATCAGCCCCAGATCCTTCCCCTTCATGCCCACAGGTGCTCTTACAAGGGTAGGGGTGGGAAGCAGGGTCAGATTCAGGAGCCACAGGCTCTAGAGAGGGTGGTCCCATCTCCTGGTGGCAGCATCCCTAGCTTTGGGTTGGGCTGGGTGATGCTGGGCCGGCAGGAAGCCTGGTCTCGATGCTTCTCAGTTCCATAATTCATGCTGGAAATTGGCCGGCATGTCCCGCCCCGGCCCCAGCGGTGATGTATGGGCGCCGTCGCAGTAAGAAAAAGGCAGAGTAAATGTGTAATTTCTCCCTTGACGGCCCCCGGCCGCTGGGCGATCCTTCTTGTTGCCGCCGCGTGGGGACGGCCCGTCCGCCACACTCCGTCTTCCCGCCACCCGCCTTGATGTCTCCATTTCATTACTGCGTGGCCATTCATCACACCCACGGCCAGGGTGACTTTGCCGGTACTTTTGTGTGTGTGGGAGATGTGACCCAGGCCATAATCACTGGCGACAAGGCACAAGGCTCGGCACTGCTGGGCCACAGCCCTGGGAAACACACCTGCCCTGTGTCCTGGGCTTGCCTGGGCACCTGTTCCTGTGCAGCCCTGACAGGATGGGGAGGGTCCAGATTTGTGGTCCTCCTCATAGCAGACACTCCTGCATACATCCTGCCTCTGTCCCAGTAGGCTCAAAGTGGGTGCTGGTCACTTTTCTGGGCCCTGTTTCTCCCCATACCTCATGTGGAATATGTCTGCATGTGTCAGACTCTCACAAGCGGTTTCTCCAGTGTTGGATGCTTTCAACTGTCCTAGAACCCTGGAGGCTGCAGGATCAGGCCTCTGGGCCTTCAGAATCATGGACATGGGCCGGGATTTGTTCCACCACCACCGCCACCACCAACTGCAGGAGGTGTACCTGCCCAGAGCTTATTCCCCTAGAGAAAGCCTAGGAGAAACAGCCTGAGTGCCTGAGTTTTTCAGTTCATCTGCCCACAGGAGCCAACTCATCCCCTCACCTGCCTCTTCTCCACCTCCCTTAGATGCTGCTGGGCCATAATCAGGGCCTCCACCACCACCAGCCTTCATAGGATCGATTGTAGAAATATTGTACATCAATGTCATAATCAAGCATGGGGGGTAGTAAGGTCAAGGTGGGGTCAGGAAACCTCTGCATGTCAAGGCCCACCCTTGCCAGGACCTTAGCCTAGGAAGGGGGACCCTCCAGCACTAGCAAAGGGCAGTGGGAGGGTCAGCCCAGGCCTTTTATCACTAGCCAGATCCTAGCTCTGCAAAGCCTGCTTTGAGCAGGCAAGTCAGACAGGGTCCTGTCTTGCAAAGCTCAGCATGGATGTACCCGAAGTGGATGTGGGCATGGAGAGGTGACACCTTCCCCCAGGGACTTAGGAAGCCGTAAGGGCTGGTCTCAGGCAGAACAGTGGGAAGACAGATGGGTGGGTAGTGGCGGCCATGGCAACTCCAGACGTGACCCATCCCCGTAGTTTATGGGCCGGACACGCGCCCCGCTCAGCTGAGGCCCCATCATTTGTCTCTCTTAGTGTGTGTGCCTGTGCTGTGGGAGTAGAGGGTGGAGGAGGGAGGGGCTGTGCTAGGCAGTTGACAGGAAGGGGAATGGGACAGGAAGGGGCCTCAGAGAGGGAGGGGTTAGGATGGGAACCATGGGCTGTGATGGTGCCAATAGAGGGACTATGATAGGGTGATTTTCTTCCCAAATAAGTCTGGCCCTGTCAGGGCACCTCCAATCTTTCCTGTCTCCTGCACCCTAGGGACCATGGCCGCTGTGCATATTAAGAATAAGTCCCCTCGTTATCTGCAATTACCCAGCAGCCACACACCTCATTTCTTCCAGCAGAAAAGAAAATTAGTTTTCTATTGACTTCATCTGGCTCCTCCCTCATTGCTGGACATATCATTCAATTTGCTTCCTCTAGCCCAAGTGACTGTCCTAGCCCCAACCCCCAGGTCAGCAGTGATCCAGTGGGCAAGCACTGATCTCCCACCTGTGCCTGGCCCTGCGCTGGGAGAAGGTCCTCATGTCCCAGTCTCTGTCCTTGACCTCTCCCCACTCTACACACTGGATAACTTCATCTAATTGTGAGTGTCAGCTACTGCCTGAAGATCACTGTCTCCAGCCTGGACAGCTTCTGGGCTTCACATAATCCTGAACATCTCTTTCTAGATAAACAAACTCAAAACATCTAATCATGAGCTAATTTTCTCCCCAAAAGGCTTCTTACCCCTCACCCTGCTATGTTCTCCATCCCAGTGAATGGTACCATAATCCACCCAAAATGCCCAAAGAAGAAACTTGAGAGTCATGTTGCCACTCTGCCCTCACTCTCCAAATCCAATTAAGTATGAACTTCTGCAGATTTTCTCTTATTCTCTGCCTAATCATCTGGGATTACAACAGCCTGTCCTCTTTCTCCCTTGAATTCATTCTCTTACAGCCAAAGTGATCTTTCTTACATAAATCTGATCATGTTCTTTCTCTTTAAAGCCATTCACTGGCTCTCCTTGCCCTCAGTTTAAAGTCTACACTTCTGTATTATGTCTTAAAGGCTCTGCAAAAATTGATCCCTGCTACCTCTGGTTTCTGCCATGCTTAACCCTCAATCCCTGGACTCCAATCTCAGGACCCACTCACTGTTTTCTAAAAATGGCAAAGTGAGTTTTGGAGACAGACAGACATGTTTCCAATCTTAACTTCACCCACTGGCTGCACAACACGCAGCAAGGGCTTAGCATCTCTAAATACTTAGGTTCCTCCACTAGGGTGATAATGGCCTTGCTGTTATTGTGAAGACCGAACAAGGTGTTGCACCCACGTCTTTGCACATGTTGTTCTTTATGCTTGGATTAACTCCTCTTTCTGAAGAAAAGGCAAGGCACCTAGTTTTCTGGAGGATCCAGTGGTGAGAAAGTGTAAACCATACAACTGATAGCACAGATGACTGATAGGGGCTGGCAGACTTGGTGAAACCAATTGGCATTCACTCCAAATTTTGACTACGGATCCTGTTTACTGGGTATTTCTGGAGTCTAACTTGTTGCAATTAGCCCACTATAATAAAGAGAGGCCAGGGAAAGGAAGAAATTTGCTCTAGTTCTCCTAGCAAATCAGTGGAATAGCAGTCATGGGCTTCCAGCCATAGGCTCTTTTTCCAGCCCTAGAAGCCTTGATAAGAGTCCATGCAAACTACTGTTTTTTTGTTTTCTAAGTCTATGGCCCTGCTATAAAGTGAGGAAACTTGGCAGAAGAAGCACTAGAGACAGATCTGGGGCTTTTAGTAGGCCAAAAGTTTAGAGAGAGAGAGCAGCAGGGTGAGTATGGTGGCAACACAGTCTCTTGGAAAGTTTTCTGCTTGAAGCTCTGGGGGCCACTTGGGTTAGTAGGCTTGTCTTCCAGCACCTCTCATTGAGCTAAGAAGGCCAGCATGAAGCTGCCGTAGGGTGGGAGTAGAGGTGCAGGGAGCACAGCCCTGCACCCACAAGAGGCCTCCAAGAGTATGTCTTCTTCACCTTCAAATTCTAGAAGGCTAACATTTGGTTCTGTTTTGTTTTGAGACAGTTTTGCTCTGTCACCCAGGCTGGAGTGCAGTGGAGTGATAGCTCACTGCAACCTCTGCCTCCAATTCTTGTAGCTAGGCCTCCCAAAGGGCTGGGATTACAGGCATAAGCCACCGCACCTGGCCAGGCTAACCTGTTTTTATGTTTCTGCAGGATCATCAATTTGTGACAAGATGACCCTCTCCTCTTCTTTTTTGGAGCATTAATATTCTCAATGTTGGAAATATTTTTATATTGCCAAGACCATAATGTGAGGAGTGCAGCTGCATAAATCCCTGAGAAAAGATTAGTGGGGATAGCACCTAACAAGGAAGGATAAGCTTGTTGGCTGGGCCCAAGGACAGTCAAATGTCTGCCTGACAAAGAACCTGCACACAGAAGAGTCCCTCAGATCACTTAGGACACCCAGAAAGAGCTCACAAAGGGCAAACAACCTAAGGCTGATCTTCTCCATTAGTGGCACTTACCTGGGAACTGAGTGGCAGAGGACAGGAAGCAGGGCCTGGGCTATGGAGACCCTCAGGAGGAAAGGAACCCAAGAAGTTGGAGGTCCATTCATTCAGCAAACATGCATTGACACCTGTGTGCTCAGTGATCCTGTACTACACTGCTTCTGAGGGATGTGCAAGACTCTGTAGCTCCCTGCCCTCAAGGAACTCAAAGACAGCTCTGTCAGGGGTGCAGTGTTATGAGAAAAGGACACATAGAAAAGTCATCTCGTTCTGTTTGAGGATCAGAGAAAGATTCCAAAGCTAAGGAGAAGTCTTAGGGGATGGGGGAGGGAGCTACCCCAACCAGTTATGTTGGGGTGAGGAAGATGTTCTCAGCATAACAGTATAGGCATATTTATGGAAGTGAAATGTGGAGCGTCCAAAAAATAAATAAGTTTATCAGATGGGTGGGAGGGGGGATGAAGAATCAGAAGGGAGTAGCAAGAGATGAAGCTGGTAGTCAGTGAGTGACTAAAGGGGATCCTGAAGAGCCCAAATGCTAAACTAAGGAGCTTAAGATGTTATTAATCTGAGAATGATGGGTAGATATTTACATGTCGAAGAAGGGGAATGACAGTACCAGATCTATGTTTGAGAATTATCATCCTAGGTGTGAAGACAAGATTAGAAGGATTAACCCCGAGGGCAGAGAGATCAATTAGCAGATTGTACTATGGTCCAGACCAGAAATAATGGCCCAGAACTAGGCCAGGAGTGGTGGAAATGGAGCAGAAGATCTATTGATAATGTGGGGGAAGTGGATGGAAGTAAGACAATTTTTAGGAAATAGAATGAGCAAGCCTTAATGGGGGGATTGGGACGGCAGGACCACTCACTGAGATAAGGCATACCAGAGAAGGTGCAAATTTAGGGCAGTAATAAACTTAGTTTTGGATGAGTTAAGTCAT